TTCGCCGACCAGGTGCGGCCTGCAGCCCGGCCGGGCCTCCCGCCCCCGGCCCCCGCCCCGAGCCCCCCTCCCGCGGGGCCCCCCGACCCCCGCCGCCCGCCCTCCCCTCGGGTCCCGAGCCCTCGGCCGCCCGCAGAGCCGGCCCCGACCCCGGAGGGCTGCCCCGAGATCTGGGCCGCGTCCCCGCTGCGCCCCCCCACTCGCCCCCGACCCCGCCGGCGGATCGCGCCCCCTCCCCCAACCGGGGCATTCCCTCCCGGGCTCGTCGCGCTTCCCGGCTCGGGACTCCCCCGGCCCGGCCTCCCGGCCCGGCCTGCCCTGGCCGCCGCCTCCCCGCCAGGACTCTGGGTGTGTTCTCGGGCCGTGCGTCGGCACCCGGGTCGGCGAGCTGTGCCCCCCGAACGCGGACCGGGCGCTCCCAGAAGAAGAGGGGCGTGGAGGGGCTGCCTCGCCCCCTCATGAGAAGGGAGCCCGGGGTCCTGGGGTCCTGGGGTCCTGGGGTCCTGGGAGCGACGCTGGTTTGGGCCAAGTCTGGCGACCCGGAGCGTCCTCTCCCTTCTGAACCGTCGGGGTGGTCCCTGCGCGCCTCCCCGTTCACTGGCGCTCCTAGGGGGCGGGGTGGGGAGCTCCGGTCCTGAGCTGGGGTTGGTCCGCCTGGAGGCCTGGGGGGCCCTCCCGGAGCGGGGTGCGCCCTGGTGTGTGCCCCGCTAGAGGCCTCGGCACTTTTCTCTTTGCTCTTCCCCAGATGTGTTGGGCTCGTGGGGTCCCTCTGACCCTCCCCGCGTTTTCCCTCCCTGTTTGGACTCTGCCCTGGGACCGGATTGAATGGGTCCCTGTCTGCACACAGACCTGGGAGGAGGGGAAGCCCGTCTTCCTGGGTTGGTTTTCTCCCTCCCAGAGTGTACAGGCGGCCTCCTGAGCGGCAGGGAGGCTGGAGCAGGCAGTGGACGCACACCGGGTGGACCGAGTCAGACCCTAGAAAGGGGAAAGGACAGCACTGCCACCCTCTTTCGGTTAAGCTTTCGACTATGTAGTGTCCCTTTTACTTGTAAAGTATCCCGTTAGGTCTGTGGGTCAACAGCCTCATCTCTGCCAGGCCGACCCGGGTTTCGCCCCGTTGCCATTTCGTTCCTTGGTTCCCTTAATGCGTTTGCGGTTTTTGCCAGAGGTAACAGTAGTGAGGTTAAGTTTTTAATTTTTATGGAGGTCGTGTTGAGTCATCGAACGCCGAGGCGTAAGCTTATCGGAAGGCTCGCATGGGTTTGTGTGATTTTAAAAAAGATAAAGGTGTTTCGGATCAGGTGCGGGTGAGCAGGGTTTTCCGCTGTTCCCCTCCGAGGGCCGAATCTTCTAGTGCGGGCTGCTCATCGGTTCTCCTTCCACCACTTTCCTGTGCGCTGGTATCTGAAGACCAGTTTGGGGGAGAAAAAAAGTGTATCAGTTTGAAGAAATAGTTTTCCCTGAGGTCAGGGTTCTGTGTTTACAGACACAGTGTAAAAACTGTGTCCTTCGCAGAAACAGCTCATACGGAGAGCTCTCAGGAACCGAGCAGGCCTTCCTTCCCTGTCGGTTTTCACTGACACGGTTTTTGTGGCCCGATTTCATTTCCCCAAGTAGCAACTCGCAAAGAAGATGGCTCCTTTCAGCCGAGGGGGCCGTGGGAGCTCTGTACACTCACTCTTCAGTCTGGAGAACCCTGATTTTGCAAGTGCATTTCATAACCAAATCCAGCTAAAATGTCTGTAACCCAGCTGCTGCCAGCGATCAAATGATAAACTTTCCTACAGAAAAAAAAAGTTAAAAATCTCTTTATGTAATCTTTTCTTCTTTTTCTCCACGCGTTTTATTTGAAATGGAAGAAGCAGAATCTTGGAACTGGAAAGGCCCTTGAAGGGGACCCAGGGTCTCCCTGCGCCAGGTTACTGCTGGGAAGGAAGGCAGGGCCTGCTGGGGTCTGCCCTGTGCTACACAAGACAAGCTTTTGAGGCCTGGTGTTCTTCTGGCACAAAAGGAGGGACAAGGACTGGCCTCACCAAAGGGCACGCGCCACCACACCTGGCTCCCGGAGCGGCCCAGGGCTGTGTGCGTCAGGCCGCGCGGGCTCCCACGGTCGGCTTCTCCATGCCGGGGCCCACCCGATTGGTGGCAGCAGATGTCCGAAGACATCTCCGTGCCCCCTTGTGGGTGACTTGGGAGGGCAAAACCAAAGTCTTCAGAACTTCAAAACCAAAATCAGGAGCCTCTGCTGCCACAGGCAGGCTCGACGCAGGAGGATGTGGGCACCAGAGCAGAGATCCCAAGTGACAGTTTCCCGTGGACAAAATCTGGCCAAGCTGCCATGGTGTTTTTGTTTTTCGCATCGATCCACTACTATTAAAACAAAGCCGCCAATGATAAAGGTGCTTAAGTCCAGGCTTTTAGAACTGAAAATGATTTCATTTGAAAGGAACGGGGAAATACCGAAGGCACCCATCAGGTAACGTGATGCACCCAGCTTCTCTCACCCGGCCTTCAGAAGACAAAAGCACAAATCAAGTGACAGAGTTTGACCTGAAAGTCTGGGCTAGTGAGAGGGAACCTAAAAAGGCCTGTGTTTCCCACAGTACTTAGGATCACAAGCCCAAGTACTTAGGATCACTCGCTCTGGGCCAGGCCATCCGTGTGTAGCGCTGTTACCGTCTGGACGCGTGCGAGGCTGCCCGCGGCGCCTGCACCTTCAGCAGCGGGAGGGCGGGCTTGCAGTGGCTCAGGGTCTCAGGACCGAAGGCCGGGCTCCTGGCCTCCTGGCCGGCCCGCACCCTTTCCTGCAGGCCCACAGAGGGAGAGCACAGGGTCAGCTGTTCGGTTAGTCCTGGCTGGCAGGCCCTGGAGAGCCGCACCCTGGCATCAAGCTCCTCGCCCCCGGCAGCCAGGGACAGTGACCCGCTCCCAGGAAGCAGGCGCTAGAAAAAATGCTGAGCGTGCCCTCTGCAGACGCTAGGCATCCAGAAGCCGTCTGAGACCAGGTTCGAAGGAGCCAGAGACCAATGAGCTCAGCAATCCGGAGTGACGTCTGAGTCCTGCGGCCGGGGCTCGCTGCCATTCAGCACCGCGTAACCCACCGCGTAACTCCGGAGCCCTTCTGTACTGGCCAGCAGGAGTATTAGCACCTAACGGGTTCGGCCTGACGGCTCATCACCAAGGTGACAGATAAGCCGAGTGGGGCCTTGGTCTCCTGGGGGGCTGTTGGTTTTTACCTGTCTTTGGCATGAGTGAGCCAGTCCTAGGAGCTCTGACCCCCCGGGTGCTCCCCTTGGCCTGTGGTCAAGCCTTGGGCAGCGAGGATGGCCCGACCGAACAGGGCCAGGGTGCACGTAGGGCACAGGTGTTAGGGCTTTGGGTCAACTGTGTGGATGGCCGCTGGGTGCGAGTAAGGCTCCGGGGACGGTGATGGGTTCTGAGTATCTCGTTCCTCTCCTCTGTGCCCCCACTCCCTCCCAGGGCTTCCTGCCTTATGCCATCAGGAGTAAGGGGAGAGGGCACGGAGGGCTCATTCTTCCCTGCTTGCCCATCCTAGGAGGTTAGAAGAGCCGCCCTGCCTCTTCTGGGGAGCAGGGTGGAGACATGGGGGACTGCGGTTAGCGAGGCGCCTCCTAGAAAATGAGGCACAGCTCTGTTCTGGTCCGTGGGACCTGTCGCTGCTCTCCTAAGCTTGGGCTCTTGGTCACGTGGGGTTTTGGTACACACCAGGGCCTGCTGACACTTGTTCCTGGAGGTGCGGCAGGAAGCCCCAGGCAGCAGCATGCTGGGAGACTTGCTGGGGAGCTCGGAGGTCATGGCGGGTGAACACGTGTGCGCCCTGTACTCTTGCTTTGGCCCTGACTCAGCCTGATGCGAGGGAAGTCACCAACCACAAGTTCTAATTACCTGGGATGTGTAGGCTTGATGTAGTCCTTGAGAAGGGCAGCCCCACTCCCCGGCGATCAGAAGGTGTGACTCGCCCTCTTCCACTTCCTCTGAGTTCTCCACCAGGAATTGCACACTGTGTCCCTCCAGTCCCTTCCGTCCTGAATACTCAGAGACAGTCGGGTTCTCTGTGCTGCAGGTGGCTGTGGGCTGTGATCACGAGTTAGGTCGCAGGTGGCGTGTGTTTCTGAAATCCCCTCCAGAACTGGAAGCCTCGTCAATGAGTCTCGCTCTCTGTCTTGCCCAAGTCCCTCCGATGCTCACTGCTCTGAACCATACCTTGCTTGGCGCTGGGGTTCTTGGAGATGCCCGTGAGAAGCCCGCCCCACAGAGGCCGGCCATCCTGGCCCGCGGTCTGTCCCTGCTCAGTCTCCCCCTCCAGCTCTCTTGCCATGATTTGCTCCCGTGAGTGGCAGCGTTCTGCAGGGCCTGTGGGCGTGTTGGACGCTGGTGCTGTGTGCACACCGGACAGGGGACCGCTCTGGGCTCTTGGGCACTGCCAGGTGCCTGACTCGGGCTCATCCCTGATCTGTCAAGGGGATGCTGTCCACAGATGCGGGATGTGGATTCAGCGGCCAAGTCTGAACCGTTGTGACCGACACACATTCAGGGAATCCGTAAAATTGGGTCTGGCCTCTTGTTTATTTTTTAAACCATTATTTTTTTTTAATGATTTTTTTTTTTAAGATTTTATTTATTTATTTGACAGATCACAAGTAAGCAGAGAGGCAGGCAGAGAGATAGGGGGAAGCAGGCTCCCCACTGAGCAGAGAGCCCGATGCAGGGCTCGATCCCAGGACCCTAAGATCATGACCTGAGCTGAAGGCAGTGGCTTAACCCACTGAGCCCCCCAGGTGCCCCTTAAACCATTTTTTTAAATGATATTTATTTATTCGATAGAAGGCATGCACAAGCAGGGGGAGCGGCAGGCAGAGGGAGAGGGAGAAGCAGGGAACCTATTGCGGGGTTCAGTCCCTGAGATCATGAGATCATGACCTGAGCCAAAGGCAGACGCTTAACCGACGGAGCCACCCAGGTTCCCCAAACTGGGTCTGACCTTGTGTTTAAGCATAGGTTTTTTCCTTTTTTTTTTTTTTTAAAGATTTTATTTATGAGAGAGAGAGCAAGCCTGAGTGAGAGCATCAGCAGGGGGGAGGGGCAGAGGGAGAAGCCGACTCCCCACTGAGCAGGAGCCTGACGTGGGGCTCCCTGAGACCATGACCTGAGCCGAAGGCTGATGCTTAACCTGCTGAGCCCCTGAGGCGCCCCTCCAGAACCTCTTTCAAGCCAGCCAGCCTCTAATAAGCACCTGTGTGGACCGAACACGGGAGAAAAAAGCCCATGTTCAGGGGAGCCTGGGCGGCCCAGTCAGTTACGCCTGCTTCCCCTTCTCTCTCTGCCTCTGCTCCCCCGCTTGTGCGCACACACTCTATCAAATAAATAAAATCTTTAAAAAAGAGAGATTCTGGAGCAGTGTGACTTACAAAATATAGTCGGCTCCAAGCCTAGACCACATCTGACTTTGAAAATCAGATAGGTGCTTAGTTCACAGCAGAGATTACCTGAATTTTGGCATTTTTCCCCCAAGCTCAGAGCGTCTCCTCAGCATGTCTTGTGGGGAAGGGAGGAGTCTCTCTGTTGCTTTTTAATCCTCTTGACCCAGACACTCAAATTAGGGGTACAGACTCCTCTCAGAGCTTTTAAACACTGCCTGTGTCTCTTGGGCCGTCGCCGCGGAGCAGTGCGTGTGCTCAGTGGGGCTGCCTGATGATGGCGAGGGCTCCTTTGTCCTCATTGGGGAGCACGGGAGCGCCTTTCAGCTCCAGCTTGGAGGCAGCCCAGCACCCCCTGATGTCTGTCTGCCTGCCTTTTGGGGTCAGCCTCCCCTGGAGTCCCGCTGCGGCTCCATGCCTGTGTCTCTGAGGACTGCACGGCGGGTGAGTCCACCGGGGACTCTTGCTGGGCCTTAGGAGAGCATCTGGGCCCCTGAGGCGGAAAGGGCAGGGTTGGTGGCGTCCGCTGCCCCTGTTCCCAGGGGTCTGACACCGGGGTGTGTGGATGCTGACTGTCCGTACGTCTTACGTGCGCTACGGAGACTCCCGAGTTCACAGGGGCATTCGAGGCCTCTCTTTCCAAACAAGGTTCTTTCTCCTTCCTTTTTCTCCTCTGCTCACTCAAGTTGGAAAGAGTCTTAGCAACCACTCACCCAGCCGTCCTCTCTCTGTGGGAGGATAGCAGAACCCGTCCCCTGCCTCCCAACTGATGGGGCTTGGCTGCGACTGCTCAGTGCACGGGCCCAGCCTCGTCTTCGCAGATGTGCCTGGTCGATGGTCCAGGCGTGTCTTGTCTCTCACTGTGACCTCTGTGGTCGAGGGCTGAGCAGGTGGGTGCAGAAGCGCCACCTTGGGGCTCAGTCAAGCTCAGGAGGGGTGCGGAGAAAGGCCCGCTGGCTCGGAAGCTCCTTCTCCTGCTCTCCCTCCCTCCCAGGTGAGCCTGTCTGCTGTGGCCCAGGGGGAGGGGGAGGGGAGGCTCCTCTGCTGACCCAGCCAAAGTGTGCCCGCGAAGGTTCACTGGAACAGCCGGAGGCTCATTCCCTGCGGCCGGGAGCGTCAGCTGTGTCTGGAACTGGAAAGCAGCTTTTCAAAACGCCAACAATTAAGAGATGCTCTTAGAAACCAGACATACTTTCACTGGTGCCAGTAAGTTTTCATCAGCTCTAAGAGGGACTGTGACGTTCATGTGACCGTCCCTCTGTGGGGTCAGACCCACAGATGCCCTTTGGACTCTGCCGCCCGACGCGTCACTCCCGTGGGTGGGTCCTGGTCTTCCGCAAATGGCCGCGGTCACCCTGGGTTGTAGGGTTTCTCTTTGCACTTCTTTTCGAGGTTGGAAAGAGAAAGTGGCTGTTGGGACCCAAGGGACACTGGTGCCCCGATTCAGCTCGCGTATTTGTTTCCTAACTGTGCCTTTGTTGATAATGGCCCACCCCGCGGGGCAGGAGGAAGTCCTAAACCTGTTTTCTCTCTCCTTGATGTTTGCCAGCGAGTTTCCGAACTTGAATTTTCTGCTGTTGACACAGTCGTCCACCCGTTTGTCGCCATGTCTTTGTGGGAGACTCAGGGCCGTGGAGCCGTGTGACGCACCAGCCCCCCATGGGCGCTCCCACTGGCGGCGCCCTGCGGTCCACCTGCTGTGGCACGGACTCTGGGCCGGGCCAGGAAATGCACGCGTGGCTGCCAGAGCCTCCCAGTGGCTCTGCAGGTCCTGGCCACCTGGAGACATGGGAGCTTACCATTGGGTCAACCTAGAGGCCCTCTGGGCCCGGGACCCCGGTTGTCACTTAAGCGGCATCTCAGGGTGTGCTCGGCTTCCGCCTAGAGGGGATCTGAGTGTCGCTGGGGTGCGGGGCCGCGCTCCGCTGTGTGTGACCAGCAGGCAGCATCGGGTAGGTGCGGTGCTGAGCGAGCCCCTCTCCCCTGGGGGGGGTTCAGTTTGCCCGTTTGTCCCACCAAGGCACATGTGGCACTGTCTGGAGGCAGTTTTGGTTGTCGCAGATGGAGTGGGGCTGCTAATGGCATTTGGCGGGCAGAGGCCAGGGCAGCCCACGATAGAGAAGGGCTCTGTGCAAATGCCCGGGGGCGCAGGTAGGGAGACGCCCCGCGCACAGCTTGTCACAAGGTGATCCTAATTCACTGAGGCCCTTGCCCGAGAATCCGAGCCGTGTGTCTTGTGGCCGTCCCACGTTTTGACGACCGTCATTGCCGCCTGGACACGGGTGCCGAGAGGACGGGATCACAGGAGGGCGCGGTGGCCGTCGCCCCGGGGGTCTGAGCCAGAGAGGCCGATGGCACACCCAGACCCACAGGGCAGGGCTGAGAGAGGTGCTGAGGGGCCCTGCGCCTGTGGGGGGGGGGGTCCAGTGTCCGGCCCGCAGCCGCCTTAGCGGGCTTTCTGGGGCCCACAGTTCCTCCGGGTCACGAAGCAGTACCTGCCGCACGTGGCGCGTCTCTGCCTGATCAGCACGTTCCTGGAGGACGGCGTCCGCATGTGGTTCCAGTGGGGGGAGCAGCGTGACTATATCGACACCACGTGGGGCTGTGGCTACGCGCTGGCCTCCGCCTTTGTGCTCCTCAACCTGCTGGGACAGCTGAGTGAGTGGCCCCGAGGCGCGGGCGGCATTCCCCGGGGATGCGCGGTCAGAGCGCATGTGCTCCGGGGCGGGTGGGGGAGAGAGTGGGTCACTGAGGGTCTCCTGGGGCGGATGACGCTCTCCCTCCCCTCCCTGCCTGGCAGCGGGCCTCGGGGTGGGTGCTCTGGGCCGCTTGGGAGATCTGGGCAAGCTGGGTGGGCCCAAGAGGAGCGGAGGGGTCAGAGCCCAGGGAGAGGGCGAGGGGAAGGACCACGGGCAAGGGAGAGCGTTAGGCTGGAGAGCAGCTCCCGGGGGCTTCAGGTCTTCTGCTCCTGACCACTCTCTTCTGGTGGCAGCCCCTCCCCGGTACCTTGCGGGGCAGGAAAGGGGCCTTTTCAGCCCCTCCCGGAGCTCTCCACAGCGGAGTTTCCGAGGGCCCTCCCACTCTGGAAAGGGGCCCGTTCTCTGGAGCAAGGGACCACTTTCTGGAACGGTGTCTGCTAAGCGAGGTCCAGTTGACGTGGGTGTGGTCCGTGCCTCTCGCTGGTTTCCTGGAAGTTGCTTTTTCCCTCGGGGTGGTTCTGGGGCTGCTGCTTCATGGGGGGCTGGCCGCAGCCCCTGAGCCTTGCCCTCGTCTTTTGCAGCCGGCTGCGTCCTGGTGCTGAGCAGAAACTTCGTGCAGTACGCCTGCTTCGGGCTCTTTGGAATCATAGCGCTGCAGGTACGCGGGGCCGAGGCCCGGGTGCGCTCTTCCTCGCGGTGGCGGGAGCAGAGCTTTTGCACAAAGGTGTCTTTGGGGCCTCAGCGTCCCTCCCCCGAGCCCTCTGCCTTTGCCCGGACCTCCTGCTCTTCTCTGAGAAGCCACTGGAATTTCCTCCCAGCAAGCTCATTGGAGCGGGAGAGGCTGGTGCCCGGAGAAGTGCCAGGCTCTGGGTACCCACCTTCGGGCCGCCTCAGTGAGTTTCCTTTGACGGGGACAAACCACAGGGTTGGCTACAGCCAAGACGTTGTCTCACCGTTTTCCCTCATAAAGAGCACCTGGCCGGCCGTGTGAGCTGTGCGACCCGTAGCGCGTGACCCTCAGCGCCCCCGCCCACCGTGGGCTCCGGGACAGCAGGTGCTGGCTCGCAGGCCCGGGCCGAGATGTGCTGAGCCCGGGTGCTGAACTCGGAGCCGTCCTGGGGCCCTAAAGCGGCAGTGGGTCTTGTGTGCGCACTTACACCGGAGGAACTGCCTGCCACAGCCGATCGCGTGGAAACCCGAGTGGGTTTGGAAATGCTGACTCCAGCTTCTGTGTCTCTTCTGTTCCCTCCAGACGATTGCTTACAGCATCCTGTGGGACTTGAAGTTTCTGATGAGGTACGTGTGCGCCCCACGGTGAGCTTCTTTTCGTGGCTCTCGACTCCGGAACCAGCAGTCAGAGGGGACGTCTTTGGGTCCAAGTGTGCTTGGAGTCTGTCGGGGTGTTGGCAGGGGCACCCCTCCCTGCCCCCGAACCCAGGCCCGGATGAAGCCGTCTCCCTCGAGCCTGTGTTCATGAGGGAGGGAAGGAGGCCCAGAGTGAGCTCTTGCTCACAGGCCGGTCGCCCCTAGAGCCAGAGCTGGGATGGGGCCCAAGTGTGATCAGGTTCCTGTCCCTGTTGGGCAGAACAGGCGCGTCTGTCTTGAGCCGTGGGGGGCCTTTGCGGGCGGAAGCGGTCACCCAGCTGGTCCGTCTTGGTTTGGAGAGAGGGACCCGAGGGCCTTGCCCAGGCTCCCGCCAAGGTCTCCCGGCCCGGTGCGACGGGTACGTGTCGGGCCCGGTGAGCCGTATTGACCCGCCTGGCCTGTCTGTTCCCAGGAATCTGGCCCTGGGAGGAGGCCTGCTGCTGCTGCTGGCGGAGTCGCGCTCCGAGGGGAAGAGCATGTTCGCGGGCGTCCCCACCATGCGCGAGAGCTCGCCCAAGCAGTACATGCAGCTCGGGGGCAGGGTCCTGCTGGTGCTCATGTTCATGACCCTGCTGCACTTCGACACCGGCTTCTTCTCCGTAAGTGTCCCGCTCGCTCCAACGGGCAGGTCTCCTGGGCTTCGGGAAGGCGCGCTGCTCGCCACCCCGTCCCCCGGTTGTCGGGGGCCGTCAGAGCCATGTCGGAACGAGTTGGCTCCGAGGAAGCGAACCTTTGATCCTGTTAAAAGCAGTGAAAACCCGGCAGGCTCTCATGGGCTCAGGGTGGACAAATGAAGTCCAGAGTCTCCCTGACCCCGCGGGAGGGTCTGGTGCGGATCCACCGGCCCCGGGCTGCCCACCCAGGCTCTTCACAGACTCTCCCTGCCTCCCTTGCCCATTGCTCACACCTGTGCACACGGGTGTCAGCCTCAGAGCAGAAGGTCCTGTCTTGTCCCCAGGAGCTTACAGTGCACATCTGGGGGGCCCACTGGGTGCCCTGGCCGGGAGGGGTCCCCAGGAGGGGCTCCTGGTGCCCTGGTTGGGGGAGCCTGGTTCTAAGGCGTTCTGGGGCAGAACCACCCCAGTAGCTTGCGGGCCCACAGGCTCCGACCTGAGTGTGTCGTAGGTCACAGCCTGTTGGCTGGAGGCTGACCTTGACTCTCGCCCCGAGGGCTTGCGCTTTGGAGCGCTGCTCTCTCCGTGCTGCCCCCGGCCCCCTCGGGTGTGAGCACAGCGCACGCCCCTCCGTGACGTCACCCTGACACCTAACCACAGTGACCAGGGCACTGGCAACTTGCCTGATTGTTAAACAGGGTATGTCTCTTCCTCACCTTTTTGGGGGGATTTCTTACCTTTCCGACCTCTGCAGATTCTCCAGAACATCGTGGGCACAGCTCTGATGATTTTAGTGGCCATCGGTTTTAAAACCAAGCTGGCTGCTTTGACTCTTGTCGTCTGGCTGTTTGCCATCAACGTGTACTTCAACGCCTTCTGGACCATTCCTGTCTATAAGCCCATGCACGACTTCCTGAAGTACGACTTCTTCCAGACCATGTCGGTGATCGGAGGCCTGCTCCTGGTGGTGGCCCTGGGCCCTGGGGGCGTCTCCATGGACGAGAAGAAGAAAGAGTGGTAACAGACCCCTCCCCTCCCTGGCTGAGACCCGCGGCCACCAAGGACTGGCTCGGGGTGGACTGACAAAGCTGCCGGCGCTCACGTGTCCTCTCCCTCCCTCCCTTGGCAAAGGCACAGATGTTTTGAGAGTTTCTTTGCAGACACCTGAAAATTGATGGCTGAATGTGCTCTGGACCCCTAACCTAGTAGCCGACCATCGGAGCCGGCCGGCTGGCAGGCAGTATCCCCCTCCCCCACTCCCAAGGCAAGGCCTCAGCTTCTCGGAGTGAGTGCGGGCTCGGCCGCGGCCTCCTGTCCTCGTCCCTCGGGTCTGCGGGTGGGGGTGTCAGGCTGTCCTGTGAGCAGATCCGTCTGTGTATCATTCAGAGTGGTCTCCCTCTTACTATGCTTTCAGTTTACGTTTTTAACTAAAACGAAAGGATTCCGGATGGCCCAGCCCAACATCAGACACACTAAGTCCCAGTTTTAAACCGCTCCCATGGCTCCGAGGGGTCCCCGCCCCACACTGTAACACTCGCGGGGCCGGTGATGGCCTAGAGACCCAGACCCAAAGAATGATGCTGCCCGGGCAGGGCGGCCGTGGCCACTGTTCATGGTGGAGGTCACTGGTCAGAAAACCGCCTCAGATTGGGGCTGATGTTTGAAAGGGCAACCTGCCCGCCCCCACCCCAGGAGCTTTAGTGGCTCGAGGTGGGGACAGAGGCGCTCCAAGTCCTCGGATGCCCCTGGAGCCTGCAGGGACCCCTGCTCTGACCCTGGCCTGGCCACACACCTGCAGGTTGGCTCCCGTGTGGGGGGTGGGCCCGGTGGCAGCCGTGGGGGCCGGGCGGCAACACAGCGGGCTCTCAGACCAGTTACCTCACCCCGACCTCTGCACAGAGCCTCCGCTGAAGCCGTGGGCCCAGCTCCAATGTGGCTGGGCGCCTGCGCGGTTCTCCCCTGGCTAGAGGGGGTCTTCCCAGGCTGTGCAGCCGCGGCCTACCACCCTCCCTAGGCTGTCGCTTACTCAGATCGTCTATCTGCTATGCTGAATGCAGCCCAAATTACTTTTTAAGATTTGTGATGCCTTACTGATTGGATCTCAATCCTGTATTTAAAGTTTTCTAACATTGCCTTATACTGCGTTTCTCTTCTTGGGGGGTACGAGCGCCTGTGGCTCTTCTCCACTCGCTGGGCTGGAGCAACACCGCAGGGGGCGAGTGGGACACCTCGGTGCCTCCCCCGACTCTCCTGGGGGCCGGCTGACCAAACTCGCCCGAGGACCGCCTGGAGCTTGTCTTCTCTCCTGGCTCAGCCATTACATGTACAGGCCTGAGGGTCACCCCTGGGGATGCTGGGGGCCGGTCCTGAGCCGGGAGCCCCATCTACCAGTCACACCGGAGCCAGGGTGAGCCGGGGAACCTGCCCCCCTTTCAGCTCCCAGAGGCTCGCCGGGCTCTGCAGCCTGGACCTACCAGCCCCGGGGGCCATGGTGGCACACGTCAGGGGCCCACCTGTGCCCGTGCCCCAGCCCCTGTGGAGGCCCATCCCCACACGTTCCTAACCACATCCCACCTGCACACCCCTCTGGCCTTTTGAAGAAGCAGCAATGGCTTACGGACGGAGGGCTTTTCTACTTCCCAGCGCTCAGATGCTCCCCACACGAAGGGGGGCTCTGACTCCAGGTCTCCACCTGGGCGGGGCCGTCCCTTGGTCCACCCCCTCCCCCGTCAGCACAGCACGAGAGTTCTCTCAAATGACACTCAGCCAAGGCTGTCCCTCCGTGACACCGTTTTTGGCAGGGTACGGGTCCCTCTTGGCCCCGTGCTCGCGAGGCCTTTACTGGTTTGTAGAAACAGGTTGACCCCCGGAGGCTGGGGTTTTGGTCAGAGGTCACCCTCCGTGCTGGAGGCTCCGGGCTCACCGGGCCCTGAGCAGACCCCCGCCTGGGACGGGGTAGACGCCTTTGCAGGGAGGAAAGAAAAATACCATCTACCAATTGGCTTTGACAAAACAATTTCTGAAAATTTTTTTGCTTTATGTGGGAAATAGGTATAAATCTCATTTTATGCTGTATTTTATATCTTAGTTGTGTTTGAAAACGTTTTGATTTTTGGAAACATCGAAATAAATAATGGCATTTGTTGTACGCAGTGTGATCCTCTGGTGTTGTCCCGCCGGTGCGGGGCCTGGCCAGGCCTCTCCCTGGACGCCGAGTGAGCTTGACAGACCCTCCAGGCTTCGCTGAGGAGCACTCAGAAGCCACGTCTGGACCGAGCTCTTCCCTCAGGGTGCCTGTGCTCCCTGGGGGTGGGGAGCGTGCACCTGACGCCCGGGGCTCTGACCCCAGCCCCACCTTCGGGGGCAGCCGGCGCAGGGTGGAGGGAGAAGGCCCTGGGGCACCTCAGTGGCTGCGAGGACGCACTGCGGGCGGCTGGAAGAGGAGCGCGGGGTCCGGTGGCTGAGGAGTTCTCGATGGTGCTCCACACGCGCTTTGTCTGCGGCCGTTTACAAACCGGACTGTTTAAAAGAGCCGGAGCTCTGAGCCTCACGATGACGACTTCTAAACTTCCTCCTCGATGAGCTCAACTGCTTCTGCAACACGAACAGGGTCCCAGCTCGTGAGCCTGCCCCCTGCACCCCCCGGGACCCAGCCTCACGGCAGGCCTGGAGCTTCTCGAGCCCCGGAACCAGGGACGACAGAGGCCTCGGCACATCACTGCCTCACGGCGAAGGGCTGGGTCCGGAAGCGAGTCCCCCGGCCGGGCTCCCCGTGGCACCCGGCAGCTCTCAGAGCCTCGAACCGGGAGGCGGCCAGAGCCGGCTTGGCTTCTGTTTACTTTCATTTGCAAAAACGAGGTTGTTAATGTTTAAGGACAGAAAACTACCCCCAGGTAAGCGGCCGCTTACCTTCCTCCGCTTGTGGACCAGCGCCTGGGCCGCCGCCGGCTCTCCGTCCCCGGGGCTCGTCCCTGTGGCGCGCCTTGGCTCCTCGCCCTCCTCTTCTGTCCGAAAGTCCTCGGTGCTGTCCCCAGGCTCCGTCCCTCCCAGGTCCTTTCTGGTGAACAGCTCGGCTAGAAGGAATGGGGGGTGGGGTGGCTGTTTCAGGTGAGGTTCACCACGCAGGCCCAGGACCTGAGGACACGTGGTGGGACGGACAGACGGACGGAGGCCGGAGCCGCTTGCCGAGAGCTCAGGACAGACGAGACAGCCAGGACCCACGCCTGGGGGGGGGCAGCCGCTTACGTGGGTACAGATCCGTCATGCTGTCGCCACTGTCACTCGTGGCTGCGCCATCGTCGCTAGACACAGGTTCCCAGAAGGCCTCTTTCGGACGCCGCGGCCTGGCGCCATCTGTCTGGTCTTCTCTCCTCCTCCTCTTGTGCAAGAGGCAGGCAGGCACGTACTCCACACCCTGCTGCTGACACTTTTCATCTGGGGGACAGGCCAGCACGCTGCCTGGTTCTGGGTCTGCCGCGGCCCCCAGCGCGGAGCCAGGCTCCACCAGGGCCCCACACCCCACAGTTTCTACCAGGAGAAGAAGGAGGCCAGCACGGGTGCAGGTTGTGGAGTGAGAAGATGCAGGGGCGTGCTGGGCCTCGAGCATTGAACCCCCAGCCCCAGCCTAGCTCCCGGAAGCCTCTGGTACGTCAGCTGGGGCTCCACACTGCATGGTGGGGCTCGTGCGACCTGGGCCGTTGGCCCAGAGCAGTGGATAGAAACGGAGCCCTGATGGGGAGTAGGGTGGCATCGACAGCCCTGACTTGGGAAACATGCCCCGTGTGGGCCTGGCTCTCCTGTCCAGTGTGGCCCCCTCAGGGAGGAGGGAAAAGGGGGACCAGGCCCTGGTCTCCAATATCACTGCCTGCTTCTGCCCACCTCCAAGGTCCTATCCTCTATCTCATCTCTGCCACCCACTCTGTGGTCCCACCTGGCCTCCTGGCCACTGGCCTCTGCACCCACTGTCTCCCATCTGCATCCCCAGCCAGGTTTCCCGGCTGCCAGGCTCTGGCTCCTTCTGGCCACTGGTCCTGGGAGCCACGCACTCCAGCGTCGGGAGGACTGTTCTGCTCCTGGAGTGACCCAGCTCTCCCTTTCCCGCCCACACCAAGCAGCCCTCAGGCTCTGCCCGGGCGCAGGATCCCTGCTTCTCAACACTCCACAGTGTCCTTCACTACTGGCCTTAGGTGAAGATGGTCTCCTGTCTTCTTGGGGAAACAAAGCCTTCAGACTCTCTTCTTCATCCTGCCGGTGTCCACGTCCAAACCCACCGTACTCCGCTCATCTGGTCCTCCCCCACCTTCCCTTCAGGAACATTTGAGAAGTCTACCGCTCTCGAGACCTCTGCCCCAACACCACCCCACCTGGCTGCTTCTCTCCTTCTGGGGGCTCCTTCCGTGCTCAGGACCGGCCCTGTCCCCTCTTCCATGGCTTCAGGAATGCAAACGCCACCTGTGTCAGTGGCGTGCATCGTCCGAGTGCTGGCCCCTGTTGTCAGTAGTCACCCTCCCTGCCACACGTTGACAGCAACGTTTCATTTTCCCACGAAGCCTGTCATCCAGATGCCACTCTCCTAAACCACCCCAGGTCTCGAGCCAGGAATTGGGGGTCACAGCTGACTTCCCCCTTCCCTTACCCACTGATCCTGCTCTATGCACATCTTCTCTGCCAACACCCGGTCACCCCAGCCACGGTCACCTCACCTAACTGCACAGCACTGAGCGGCCCCTCTTCCACCCCTCCCCACCCCGCCCCCCTCGGAACCACAGTGACCCTGACACACAAAGTGATTGTGCTGCGCCCTGCTTCGGTCCTTTCAATGCCTCCCCACTTCATGTGGTCCTGACCTCCAAGGCCCTGTGTTCTTGTCCCCACCTACCCTGCTGACCCCACCTTGCAGGCAGCACAGTGGCCTTCCTCCAGGAGCTCCTGTAGCCAAGCGTTGTTCTGCCTCTGCCCTCACCTGAGTCTTTGCTTCTACTCCCCACGTCCCTGAAGTCTCCACTCAGGGACTCAGCCTCCCCAGGGGCCTCGTGGTGGTCCTCGGCACACATCCTTCACAGCACTTGCTCGCCCGTAGTGACCTCGGAGCCCACTGCACCACCAGCTGGTGCCAAAGGGTGACTGAGACCCTTCTGCCTTCAAGGGGCACGCATCCCCCAAACACCTGTGGAGTGAGGCAGGCCGAGTCCGCCCGTGGCTACTCACATTCTCGCAGAGCTCTCTGGTACCGGCGGCCCCGGGTGTGCCTCAGCACGTGCTCTGGGGACTTGTTGATGTGCCGCAGGGTGAGCCTGCAGAACAGCTGGTGCCTGGGGACAGGGAAAGCTCGGTCAGCGGGGACATTCACGACATCCCCAGAGCCTGAGAGTGGAGGTCTGCAGGGTGGCCCCGGCAGCAAGATTCTTAAAAGCTCCCCAAGCGATTCCACTCTGCAGCCGGGGTGCAGAGCGCTGACCCAGGGCAGCCGCGACCACCCCACCTTGCCCTGGAACACAGGCCTGGCCAGTCTGGGCAGCCCGTCGAGGACCAGGAAAGGCACGTGGGAGACCGGCAGGCAAGGCGCGGGATGAACAGGAGCAGCCGCTCTCGCCCACTTCCCTTCAGCCACTGGCGGCCATGCGTGTCCAGCTCCACCGAATTCTCCTTACACGTGCGAGGCTGACCCCGTCCAGAACTTCGGGTGACAAAGCGCAAGCCCTGCAGCTCCGAACGGCAGCGGACAAGCCCGGGTGACAAACCTCAGCCTTGCAGACACCGAACAGCACCGGGGAGGCGCCTATCCCACCCGAAGCTGGGCGCACCCGGCGGAGAGGGGTCGGGGCTCGCCACCCACCGCCCGTCCCCACTCGGGAACCCGCCTGCCGCGGCCCCGCGCACGTACGGGTTCTTGGTGCTGGGCACGATGTGCGGCTCGAGCTCTGCGTAGTCGAAGGCCGGGGCGGCGCGGACCAGCCGCCGGTACTTCTTGCCGCGGGTGTAGAGCTGGAGCTCGGGCAGGCGGCAGGGCAGCTCGTGGCCGGTGAGCGCGCATTTCACCTGCGGGCCGGAGAGCGGGCGCGGGGGTCAGGGGGGCCCAGGGCACACCGCGGGGCCCGCGCCTCCCCCGCCGGCCCCGCAGACCTTGTGGGCGCCGGGCTCCAGCCGCAGACTCGGGTGCTCCCGCAGGAAAGCACACACGTCGGCCGAAAGCTCCGCCATGGCGCCGCGTGGGCCGGGGGCGGGGCTCGGCGGCGCCCCGGAAGCACATGCCTCCGGGCCGGAAGTGCCGGCGGGCAATGGCGGCGGCCGTGTGGTGGCTGGGGCTGCGGGCGGCGGGGCCGGGGGCGGTGAGCGCGGCGCGCGGCTGTGTCGGGTGGGCTCGGGGGCCCGTGCCCCGGCTGGCGCGAGCTCGGCCGCTGCCCCCGTCTCCGCAGGCCTCGCCCCGTGCGGTCAGGAGGAGCGTCCTTGCGGTGCCCCCGCGCCCAGGTGAGGATTCGCTCGCGTGAGCCCCAGGCGCCCGGGAAGAGCGGCTCCCGCGCCCGCCCGGCGCTCTGCACCGAAGTGCGCGGTTCCCAGCGCCGGACCCGGCCGAGAGGGGTCTGGGACCCGTGGCTTGCGGGGGGCGCGTGCACCTGCAGCGGCGTGGGACGCTGTGCGGGGAGAAGAGGGTTTGGGGAGTCCGCTGGGGGCCTGCCTCTTCGCCGTCCGCGAGGCCCGTCACACTCCGACAGCTGCAGTGTGTTCTCCTGTGCGTCGTGGCGTCTCCGTCTCCGAGTGCTGGAAAACAGGCCGCTGGGAGTGCTCCTGGAGCCGCTCTCCCGAGCCTGTCCGGTCGGTCTGCGCGGGTGCGTCCTGGTGGAGCTCACCGCAGCTCGTGAGGAAGGCAGAGCTGTTTTCCGGGGTGGCGGCTGGTGGCACGGCCGGGACTGAGCCCTAGGTCTTGTATTCAGTCGGTAAACATCCACTGGGTGTACCGGCTACCGAGCCCCGGTGTAGGAGCCGGGCTGGACGGAGGGCGCCGCAGGTTGGCTGCTGTCCGCAGCCTGTGGTCTGTTCCCTCTCCAGCAGTAGAGGCGGCGTCTCCTTGAGGAATGGGCTGCTCCCGTTCTGTTCGCGGAGGGCTTCTGACCTCGTGCCGGTGTCCTGAACCTCCTAGGGTTGGCCTGGGGGCCAAGCAGATGGGGCAGCTCTGCAGCCCAGGCACCTGCCACGAGAGCGCAAGAGGACTCCTTCCTCCATTGGTTTTTGCTTCTCATTCCTGTGACTGCCTTTGGCCTGGGGACATGGCAGGTAAAGACTGGCTTCTAGCTCTCGCGGCGCTGAGCGCTTGACCTTGTCGCCATCTGCTCACGTTTGTGCCGCTTCCACAGGTGCAGCGTCGAAAGTGGAAGCTGAAGCTGATCGAAGAGCTGGAGTCGAGAGTTGCTGCTGAGCCCGTCCCGCTGCCAGCAGAGTGAGTGTGTGGCTGCCCGCCTCGGGCTTGAGGTCAGCAGCGGGGCCTGGCTTCTGCTTGTAATCCTGACCCTTAGACCGGCGGGGGGGCGGCGGGGGGCGCGGGGCGCGCAAAACCAGTTGTTCTACTGGGCTTCCTGACCACCGTTGCGAAGCTGCCTGAGATACTTAATACTTAGGATCAAAAATATTTTTCTGAGTTTTACCTTTTTTCCTGACGTGTTGTACCTGAGGATCCCCCAGTGCTGACGGCCCCTATAGCAGGATTCTAACCTGGTGGGTGAGGGCAGAGTGCACCCTCATGTTGTGTCCTGACTTGAGAGCATTATCTTGAAAAAGTGCCCTGAATGACTCTACTGCCTCTGCCTCCTCATTTTGAGGCATTGTCTTGGAGGGACAGATACGGTCCACAGAGCTTTCATTTTAGGGGAGCAAACGCGCGTGCCGTGTCTGTGATGTGCAGGGTACAACCCGGCTTGGCCTCACCCTCACTTCTCCCCACTCCCATGTAGCCCAATGGAACTGAAAAATCTGGAGTACAGGCCAGTGAGGGTCAGAGGGCACTTTGACCACTCCAAGGAGCTGTACATGATGCCTCGGACCATGGTGGACCCGGCCCGAGAGGCCCGGGAGGCTGGCCGTCTCTCTTCCTCACCTGAGAGCGGTGCCTACGTGATCACCCCCTTCCACTGCACTGACCTGGGGTGAGTGGGACATGCAGGGATGCACCAGCCTTGGGGAAATCCAAGATACGCAGAAGGTTCAATTCCTTGAGAGTTTGGAATTTGTACCTCCGACATTGTTGAGCCAATTCGTTTTACTTCTTACTGAGTCACTGCTGTGTCTGGGGAGGCGAAGGACATCAGCCACTCCGGAGAAACGGTCTCGTGGCCAACGTGTTGCATGGTTGTGGTGCCGCCCGAGGAGGGGCTCGTAAAGGAAAGGAACCGGCCAGCTCTGCCTGGAGGGGGTGGGATCAGGGAAGGATTCCCAGGGGACTACTCGGGCTTGGCCTGGCGTTGGGAGGGCAACATGTCCAGCGAGGGGGCATTGCAAGACCAAGTCGAGCAACTTCCCAGCTCTAGGTCTGGAAGGGTCTCTCCGCCACCCCGAGTGGGTACTGGAGGCAGGTATACAAGGCAGCTGCTGGTGGGGGCGTCAGGGTGTGGACGCTGCACTGGGCGAGGCACAGAGGGGAGCGGAGATGGGGGCTGCGGACCCTGGAGATCAGTCTTTAGAGAGCTGATGGTCCTGTCATTAAGACCGGGCCGGGGAACGGGGGGCTTCTCCCATTTTAAACTCTTCCCAAGCACCATCCTGCTCACAAGGACGACCAGTGACGATCTTTATCCAGAGCCCTTCCCCACCTGAGAGAGCATGCTTCTGTCGCTGCAGAGTCACCATCCTGGTCAACAGAGGGTTTGTCCCCAAGAAGAAGGTGAACCCTGACACTCGGCAGAAAGGCCAGGTAACGGGTGTGACCCCCCCCCCCCCCCCCCCCGTGAGCAGGCGCTCCAGAAACCACAGGCCCTGAAGTGCGATCTCCTTTCCCTCTCCAGATCCAGGGAGAAGTCGACCTAGTTGGGATGGTGAGGCTGACAGAGACCAGGAAGCCCTTTGTCCCAGAGAACAATCCGGAAAGGAACCATTGGCATTACCGGGACCTGGAGGCCATGGCCAGGCTCACAGGCGCAGACCCCATCTTCCTTGACGCGGACTTCCGTACGTTGTGCCCAGCCCACCCCAGAGCAGCAGGTCGCGTCTGTAATACCTGGTTCTACCCTCGTCTCTGCCCAGACGTTCCCCTCCTTCCTACTGGCTCCACTGGAGCGAGGGCGGGAGGAGCGTGGGGTCTGGCAGGGGCCAAGGAAAGCAACACGGGGCTGGCTACGGGTTCGGAAACGACAGCTCTCGGGCTCTGGAAGGCCCCAAGAGCTGGCCAGTGTGCTGTGGGGGACACACAGCGGGTGGCCGTGATCATGGACACGGAGCCCACGGTCTCTGCAGGGAGCACCGTCCCCGGGGGACCCGTCGGAGGGCAGACCCGAGTCACTCTGAGGAATGAGCACATGCAGTACATCGTCACCTGGTAGGTCCCGGTCTCCAGCCGCTCCTGCCTCTCCCCTGCCCACCCCCGACCCTGACGCTCTCTCTCCTCGACCCGAGGTACGGACTCTGTGCGGCGACATCCTACCTGTGGTTTAAGAAATTCCTACGCCGGACTCCTGGCCCGTGAGCTCGGGTCGTGGGTGCCGGGCTGCGGTCGGCAGGAGTCCCTGATTTCCAACTTTGTTTTTACTCAGAGTCGGGTCTGTCCGCGTAAATAAACTCTCTGCCGCGCACCTGTTGCGTCTGCCCGCGTCCCTGCCTGCGCGCTCAAGTGCCTCGTGCCGCTGAGAGGTCGCGGCGGTGTGCTCGCGACGGTCCCCCAGGCCCCCCACCTGCCCTGGGTTGGGAAACGCCTGCCACCGCCCCAAATGGACAGTGAGACGACGGACTGTGTCTACCCCAAACGCCAACTCACAGGGACCAAGACAACTTTATTAGTTTTCTGTACAGCGCGCGGCCGCGGCCGCTCAGCCCAGTTTGGTGGCCAGCTCTTTAGCCTTTGCCTTCTCCAGCTTGGCGATGCGAGCCACCGACTTCGGACCCAGGACGTTGCCTCCCCAGTGGCGGCGGATCTGCAAGGACAGAGGGGTCAGCGGGGCCTCCTTCCCGCGGTCTCCCACTGGGCTGCTCCAAGTCCCTGTCCAGCAGGACTGCTCAGGAGGGGCCGGGCGCCCGGTCCCCACTGGCCGTGCGGAGCGCGCCACATCCGCTGCCGCTTACCTCGTCGTACCGGTCGTTGTAATTGGTCCTGATGGCTTCCACCAGCTTCGCCAGAGCCCCTTTGTCTTCCCTGAACAGGCAGGGGTTAACGAGGGTCAGCAGCTTCTCAACCACCCCTCCAGAGAGCAGGGACGAGGGCCCCGTCCGCCCCAACCCGAGCCCTTTGCCTCAGATACAACACGACCACACGGCTCGTTCAGGTGAAGAAATTCGTGACCATCATCGGCAAAGACCCAGGCACGCGTCTCCCCCGTAAGGTAGCGTGTCTCGTCCTTAGGAATTAAATGACCCGGGGCAGGGGTGACTGACTCCGACGGGCTGCCGGGAGCGGGGGCCTCGCGAATACTCACGAGTTGACCTGCGTGAAGGCGACCGTGGTGCAGGTCTTCCTGTGCACCAGACGCCCCAGCCTGGCCTTCCCCTTGATGATGCAGTAGGGAACCCCCATCTTGCGGCACAGGGCGGGCAGGAACACCACCAGCTGGAAGACAGCGTCCCCGGGCGGATTCTGACCAAGGGGGGAGCGGGGAAGGGCCGACTCGGCGGCGGCTGCTCGGGGCGCAGCGGCTCGCGTCCTCCCACTTCGAGGCGGACTCCGGTGAGAAATCCGCCCCCGGCCCCGCCGGCCCCACGTACCTCAATGGGGTCCACGTCGTGCGCGATCACGACCAGCTGGGCCTTCTTGTTCTCCACCAGCGTGGTGACCGTGTTCACCCCTAGGACACAGCCGCCGTGAGCAGTCCGCGGGGCCGCCCGCGGCACTCCCCAGCCCTGCTCGGGCGCGGCTGCGGCTCAGGGTTAAAAAGCTCGGTTTCGCTCTCCACGGCGACTCCAGCTGAAGAAACGCTCGCATCACGGCCGGCAGCCGCCCCCGCGCGCCCGCCCTGCGGAGGGGCCACTCACCGGCTCGCAGCACGGGCGGCCTCTTGGTGGGGACGTCGCCTTTGCCGGCCGCTTTCTTCTCGGCCCGGGCCAGCAGCCGCTGCTTCTTCTCCTGCTTCGTCTCGGGCCGGTACTTGTGGGCCAGCTTGAGCAGCTGCGTGGCTGCGGGCCGCGGTCGGGCCGGGCCGGGCCGGGTCGGGCCGGGTCGGGTCGGGTCGGGTCAGGCCAGGTCAGGTCAGGCCCGGCCCGCCCCCGCCCCC